ACAAAGAAGTACAATATGAGAAGATTTCCCTCATAGTGTGCTACGCTGTTGCACAGGAAGAATATGGCTAACATTGTTGTAGTTCTTTTTGTTTGTTTTAAGGCTTTTCTACCTAATCTAAAATCTGGAAAATCTGGGGGAAATCCCTTGCATGCATCACTGGCTCACTCTTCCTTCTCTATCATATTCATTGATAGTTTTATTTGCTCCCTCATATTTGTTTCCTTCATGGCCTTCCACTTACTGGCTAACAAATTATTTCATTATCATCACCTCTCTGTTACTAAAACTATCTCTAATTCTACTTCTTCTAGGACTTTGGTTCTAGAAGGGAGAAGCAGAGGTAGGACTAGAATCTCAGTGTCCTGATGCCAAGTTCCAAAGATTGATTACACTAAAGAGAATGTAAGAGAAAATGTGGCTATTGTTTTCCTTTCTATTTAGGCTACATTTCTCTCCATTTCTCCCCCTAGGCTGCATTTCTATAAAGAGGTGAGAGACAATGGATTTCTAATGTGAATCAACCTTTCCAACTGGCTTTCAGCTTTCTTTCTTAGGGAGGCAAACATTTGCTTTCAGAATGAGTTCTCTAAATCTTAGGCTACTTACTGTATTCCATAGTGCATTGAGTCTCAGGTATAGAAATGCCTCTAAAAGAAAGGGAACCTTAAAAGAGAAAGAGAAATGCACCTCTGTATTTTCACTCCAGGCCTTCTTTCTCTGATATTTAATATGAGGGTTATCCCAGCAGGTATCAGAGGTAGGCTGGTGCTTAGCTGAATAATCAGGGGGATAAGATGGCACCTGTTTAGTTTTCATTTTTCTTTTTTTTTTAAAAAAAAATCTTTATAAATAAAAATTGACTTCCTTTACATACTCAGTTTATTTTTTCCAGTTTGCTGAAAGCGAAAGCCTGATTCAGTCTTTCCTCATACCTCCTCTGCCTTCACATTAGTCATTCCTCTGATTTGTTTAAAGGAAACTGCAACCTATAGAGAATAGCCCGAGGCTCCAGGGGAGAAAACTTTTAACAGCTGTCTGGTGCCTGGCCAAGGGGCAAAGTTCTCTCATTGGATAAAAACCATTTTTCTTCTCTTATCCATTGCTTCCCACTCCGCTACTAAAGGCCCTGTGCAAACACGGGATCTGCCAAGCATAACACGATCACACCTAGCCAGCTATGGCAGCCAGCCAGGGGAGATAGGCGCCGAACCGGGGCTTGTCACTGTGGGCTTCTCCCTTTCATCTCAGGATTTGTCTAGGCAGGTTCTCTTTTCTCTCCACTCTTGTGCTGGTATTAGTCTTTCCAGCAAGAAACTGCATTTGAAAATTTGGGTAATAGGTTTCCATTGCTTTTTCTTTTTCTTTTTTTTCTTTCTCAAATTTTAAATTGTCTTAAGAGTTTCTCAAAATAATTAGGGGAGACACAGATAAGTACCTTGATTTATTTTCTCTACTCACAGGAGTGAAGGCAGTAGAAGTTAGGCAAATGTTAGAAAACTGGACATAGAAATAGATGGCTCTCCATGGCTTATTTGTGTAGACTGTGTTCATAGCTGAAAATAAAAAGTGCATATATACAGAGAAAAATGTACCTTTTTTATAATATATATATTTATAAATACATTTATATATATACTTTTTTTACAAGAAGGTATGTTTGGGGGCCAGCAGATGGCTTAATGGCCACCTCGATGGACTCCCATGGAATAGACCACAGTTCAAGTCACAAGAGAGTGTGTTTGCTTGCCAGAAAGAGAGTCAGAGAGAGGGAGAGGGAAAAATCACTCCTTGCTGGGGCATGGTCAAGCTGCAGTCCCTTCTTCTCCTCTTCTCCATCCTATCAGGATTTGGGGAACACACACTCATGTTAGTCTCCAGTGTGTTTTTCAAGCCACCAAGGTTGGAGTTCCATCTGTGTGGTTGGTCATATAGGACACAGCTGCCTTAACTACCAGGTCATGAATCAGCCCCTAACTCGATTTTTAATACCGAGGATATATATCTACCATAGGAAAAACGCCCAGGATTTTTTGGAGATAAATGAATCATTGATTTGCTTTAGATGTCACTTCTCACCCACACGTTCTCTTCTTCTTTAGAATTTTTCTTTTCTACTTTTTTACCTTTACCTGAAGACTTTACTTGGCAGCTCAAGTTATTTTTAGATATGTATACACTTCTATAATATCAAAGCGAAAATGCCTCTGGTTTGAATGTACTAAAATAACAATATTTGGTTCAAACTGTACTATCTTAAACCTCAGGGAGTAGCTGTACCAAATCACTTTCATTTGTGCAAGCGGTTGGAGACATAGACCTGAGAGATCATACATAGCAACTGAGTGGATAAAGATCTTATTCAAACACTGGCCCCATGCCATGAGGAAAAGCTGCCATAAGAAAAAATGTATTTTCAAAGATCATCTTATACTAGTCAATAGAAACCAGGTTTTTCCTCCCCTTTTTTCCCCCTTAGATTTTATTACACTGAAAGCTTTTTGTCATAGGTGAGCAATGAGGAAAATTGTCATGTTTATATCTGCACTAAAAGTTCATATCTTCATCCAGCTATAAATTCTTAGGTTATAATTTCGAACATTCAAAAAATTTGATGTCTGAAATCATGACTTCGATGTCATGGTATTATTTCTTTTGAAATGTTGGCTACTGCATAACTACTGCTGCAAAGTCAACAGAATTTTTTTTTTTCTTAAGGTGGAGGGTTCTTTCAAAAATGTAATGCAGGCAAAATCTAGCTTTTGCTTTGGTTTAAATGATAGACCAACCAGATTGAACTGCAGGTGTTATACGTTATAAGCCCACAATGAAGGGCTTTTGATGGAGGCTCAAACATTCAGCCTGTAATTGGACAAGAGCTATGTATTATTTTAACTCTCTACTCATTTTGAGTCTTTGCACAATCTATTTAATATAGGGTTTCTTCCATTTTTGAGTTGACAGATTTTGCTTAGCTCAAGACTAAGAGCTAGAAACAATGACTACAGACACAGATATTTAGACCCATATCCAGTTAAGAATATGCTAAATAAGAACTAAATGACTAATATTATAGGACATTTCTTTTTTTTTTAAGATTTATTTATTTATTCATTCATTCATTCCTTCATTTTAATTTGACCAGAGAGAGACACAGAGAGAGGGAGAGAGGAAAGTGAGAAAGCAAGCAACCAGGTCCAGGACTCAAACCGTGGTCAACCATGTGGGAGTGTCCAGCACCTTAACCACCACGCCACCTGCTCGTCCCAATTCTAGGACATTTCTAATCTTTAGTAGAGACCTGGGACAAATAAATATTGATAGATAAAGGGCCAGTTTCCTAATACCAGCCACTCAAGATATTTATGAAAGATATACTCTCAAGTTATTTATAGAAAACATTAACCAAAATGTCGCAAATGGTAAATATATCATAGATATATTAAAAATGTTGTCTTTTTATTTTTTTAATTAATAAATAAAACACTTTTATTTGTTTGTTTTGTTTTAGTACAACTTTTATATTTGTTCTGGTTTGTAACGAGTCATTATGATTTTACTGATATAGGACGTGGGGTTGGCATCATATATTGTGACTAACTCCAGAACCTTTATCTCCCTAACAATGACCATTGTTAATACTTCAAGGGCCCTGACATGGTGCTGTTTAGGTGCCTCATACAAATGATCCAGTTCATAGACAATGCTATCTAAAACTAACTTGTCTAAAAACTAGAACAGAAAAAGTAGCATTTTTGCTACCTTTTCCGAATGTCACTCATTTCTTCTCTACACCTACCAAATTAACTAACGAATTAGCTAAGGATTTTCATCCCAAAGCTATGTGTTAGTCCATTTAAGAATTTGAATGTGATAACAGAATTGTTCTATCTGAGATAACTTCCTAAATTGTTCTACATTGAAACACTAAATAGATTTAGGATGTAGGAGAGAAGATATTTTCTGGGGAAAAAAAAGTCAAATTATAAAGTGATTTCTTCCTTTTTTTGGATAAAGACACTTTCAATTCATTTAATTTGTACTAGTTTGAGCTTTTAATTTTTACCACTAGGGGGCAGGTTATGCTAACAATTGATTTAGAAGAGGCCACTTTAGATAGAAGTGGAAAATTCCCTGAGGGTTCTCTTCACAAATCCTTTAGGGGAAGAGCTGTTGAATTGTTCACAGTATAATTTTCACAGCAGTTGTAAAAAAAGAAAAAGAAAAGAAAAGAAAACTAGATAATTACCACCTCAAACCATTAAAGCTTTTGAAAGTTATTTTTGTGATCTGTGACTTATTCTTTTTTATGTTCAATAATTTGATTTGATTTAAACTGAAATCTTAAATTTACTCAAAAGCCATTGCAAACAATAATTTCCCATATGTTCTCATGTTTTTCATCAGTTTCTTAAAGTTATGTATACTTAAGTTTCATGTATTTTGGTTAGAAATTGTAATCTTTGTAAGAAACCATCTTCACTGTGACAATTTTAGAAAATACAGATAAATAGATGTACTTTTGAATATTTTTTGGAGAGTTTTTCTTGTTTTGTGTTGTTTTTTGCTATAGGGCACATGCACCCGCCAGACAGACAGAGAGAGACAGAGAGACAGAAAGCGAGAAATCACCCCCCAGGGGAGATGACCACGCCTCAATCCCTTCTCCTCCATTTTCCTCTTGGGATCTTGGGCACACATGGCTTAAGCCATAAGGTCCAGGACTCGAACCGCGGTCCGCTACGTGGGAGTCCAGCGACATAGTCATTACGCTAACTGCTGGTCTCCATACTTTTGAATATTTTTGAGGAAGAAAACTGCATTTGAATACATTAAGTAAATGAGGAGATGCACTATATTTGTATACAAGTAAATGCGATTGGCTCTGCTGTTCATTCCTTCATTATTGTTAAACAACTGTAAGAACCTTACTGGAAAGAAGTGTACATTTACCAGATGCATGAACCATGTTTTTACTGCCCTACGCATTTCTTTTTTAGTGTCCAAGCAAAACCTACGACCCATTGATTAAATCCACCCGAGATTTTCCCGATGACGTCATCAGTTTCATTAAGCGGCACCCGGTGATGTTCAAGTCAGTATACCCAGTTGCTGGAGGACCAAGATTTAAACGGATCAATGTGGATTACAGACTGACACAGATAGTGGTGGATCATGTCATTGCAGAAGATGGCCAGTATGATGTGATGTTTCTTGGAACAGGTAAGCTCATACTAGATTACACTTTATTTCAAAGACATTTTTCATTATTAGGCAAAGAAAACAAAAGCTTCAAAAATATTTATGGGTCAAAACGAAAATGAGTCATGATTAGCTAATATGTTGTCATTGTTTCTCAAAGATGTATAATGTGTGGTTTAACTGATAATCATAAATATCTCCCAGTCTCCGATTGGAGATTGCGAAATACATTTGAATAGTGTGACTGTAATGTACCTGCGATACATTAGGTGCTCGATACGTTTTTATTTAATGTGGACTAAATCAAACAAGTAGAGTAAAACAGTGTCAAAGCTATGTTTCTTTATTTTCAAATTACACCCTCCCATCTTCCCACAGGGATATTTGATAAACTATATTCCAGAGGCTCCCTGCACATGATTTTGAGAATCACTCATTTAATTGACTTACTGAGGGTGGAGAGAGAGTGGATGGCACAACGGTAGTAATGCAATACTCCAGAAGGCTGACCCCCACGGGAGGCTTCCAGATTTATGTTCTGTATACACCAGGCCTGTGTGCCCATGATCCGGGAGCTGGCTAGGACTGGGGGTGGATCATGGCATGAAGATCTGTCTCACTCTCTGTTACTCATGGGAGAAATAAATAATTTTTGTAATAAAGATAGTTTTTTTTTTTTCAAAATCATTAAGGTCTTCATAAAGACCTTCAAAAAGAGCTGTCTTAGAGATTATTTTTCTGGCTTTCGAATCTTGTGGAATAAAGTTATTTTTGTGGGTTACTCATTATTGGAACCCATTTTATTTATTTTTTGTTTGTCAACTCGATAATTATAAAAATATCAAACAATGTTTTACAGAAATAGAAATATTTCTCATTTGGTGAATTTCAAAAATAAGAAATAGTATTATCTAATAGTTATGTTGATTCCAATGGCAATAAAGATAACAAATATCATTGAACCAAAGCAGTGCATCCTATGTAATGCTATATCATTTAATGAATCAAGGATTGCAAGAAACACAGACACTTATTAGAATAGATTTTTAGGAATGCAAAATGATTTAAGAATAATTTTATCTGAACATATTGGGGCCAGAAGGTGGTGTGGTGGCTAAGGGCACTGGATTCCCACGTGGCTAACTACGGTTCGAGTCCTGGACCTGCCAGCTTGCTTTCTCACTTTCTCTCTCTCTCCTGCTCTCTCTCTCTCTTACTCTGTCCCTCTGTGGGCAAATTAAAATAAATAAATAAAGTTGAATAAAATAATTCTTTAAAAAAAAACTACTGATTTTTACAGAAGTTAGATTTATTAGGAACTTTATGTATGAGGACTCAGGTGGCTTTTGAATACCAGCTATCAAATCTGATTACCTTGCAGCTGACAGTTCCAAGACTCAGAAAAACAAAGGCTCTTTCCAGGACTATTTTATGACTATTGAATGGGCAAAACACAAAATAGTTAGCTGCTATTATTCTCATAAATTTGAACTAAATTTGCACTGTCCACCCAGGAGCGCATTCCTAGGTATTTAACAGTTCACTATTGTGAATATCACTTAGCCACTAGATGGTACTATCTAACCTTTGCTAAGAAAATTAAAGGGCTTTTGCGATAGATTTTCAATTTTGACATTTGCAAATGTATATTTAATAGTTTTCAAAGATCTCAGTGTCATTTAACAGAGGAATTAAGTAATACGGAATATTTTGTTCAAACAAGTTCATTGCTACCAATATGTATATTACAATATCCAATCCCAGAGGTCAGAGATTTAAAAACATCTATTTTATATTATTAATTTCAAAGTAGGTTTTTTTTTTTTTCTTTTTCTAAAGTGCTCATTTATTTTCTTTTGGTACCAACATGCCACCTGGTAAAACTGCAATATGAGATAATACAGTTAGTTATAAGACATCTTTTCTAAATGTCAATTTTTGGTTTACATTTTAACCTTGTATTATTTTAAGCTGAACTAAAATAATCTTGAGTAAAACTTTAGTTTGTAGTTTATTGCTAATAATTCTGAATGCAGAACACATTTGAAGGGTGGATTACAATTTCTCCCATGTAGATAGTTTCATTGTTATGTCCTTTTATTACAATTACCAAAAGTATATGAATCTCGCCTTTTGTGGTATACTTGATGTAATAAGTACTAAATAAATATTACACACACAAGATTAGTTATTTTAATGTAGTCAACATTTTAATTAATATCCAAAAGATCCAACTTTTGTCATTTCAACCTATATTTCAATTAAACATATTGGGACCAGCAGTTAGCATAATGGCTATGTCGCTGGACTCCCATGTACTCCACTGTGGTTTGAGTCCTAACCCAGTGGCTTAAATTCAAGATGGGCGCATGTGCCTCCATGCCCAAGATCCCGAGAGGAGAACGAAGAAGAGATTGCAGTGTGGCCATCCCCCCAGGGGATAAATTTCTCTTTTTCTGTCTTTCTATCTCTCTCTTGTCTTTCGCACGCGCCATATACCAAAAACCTCTCAAAAAAAAAAAAAATTAAACATGTAAGAAGGGAACTTAAAAAAAGTTGTGGAAACTATTATAAAAAAAACTATGCATGGCTTTCAGAATTTTTTGCAACAGATGAACTTGTAGTTTTACTGCGTTTTCCATGAATTTTTCCCAACCCCTTCCTATATGAATATTTCCTTTATTAGGAATATACTCTGAATATGTGTTTTAATATTTTCTTTATAAATATGTATTCTACTAACTGAAGGCTATAATATTTTGGAGGGGTAAAATCATATGTAGGAAGCTCTACTTTCATGATTCAATTTACTTGATGTCTTGAAAGGCATTTAAAGAAAAATGAGGGGAATGATTTGAAGGTTTCTAGAAATATGCCTACAGCTGTATATTGGAATTGAAACAACAGGATTATGCACCCTGTACTTTTCGCAGACATTGGAACTGTCCTAAAAGTTGTCAGCATTTCGAAAGAAAAGTGGAACATGGAAGAGGTAGTGTTGGAGGAGCTGCAGGTCTTCAAGGTAAGACGGTTCAGAGTTCCAGAAGAGAGGGCGAGACTGTGGAGTTGGTTACAGGGCACATTTGTCTTAATACATCATCACTTTTCCTGGAAATGTCTTTGAAAGTAGCTCTTTCATTTTTATTTTCTGTAAGCAATGGAAAAGTTTTATAAGCAACTAAGAACAGGACTTACCTTGCTCTGTAGAATACCACTGAACTCTGAGTGCCTGGGATTGCCTCTCATTACTGCATTCTCTAGGCATACAGTCAGACAAATGGCCACATTAAATGAAAGCCTGGGGTCTCTTTTACTATCCAGATGCTTTTCTACTTTATAAATTTTGCTTTTCAATTTCCCCCCAATTGAATTTGACAAAACAGAGTGTATAAATTATGTGTCTCTGCTTTTCTGTAAGGAAATTAAAAAAAAACATTGCATGATTGCATCATAGAACATCTTCACGTATGCTAAATTCTTCTCACTTGCCAAAAAGAGTTAGTAGATCCAGTAGAATAGTTCTCCAGGTTTGGGGAAGGTCTTTGACTTTTAGTAATAAATTTGAATTGTGACATTCTTTGTAAATTTTCTATGTAATCTAATTTAAAGTCATTTCCAGAAAATATTAGAATTAATAATATATTTCTTAGAAGAGCTTTTAAAAAATATTGCTGAGGTTTTTATAATATTTTTGTTGAGACAGTTTATTAAAATAGAATTCTTTCCACATGAACATTTATTGTCATAACAGGGTGGAGCCCTCTGCTTTGAGGAGCTCAAGTACATCAACATATTGGGTTCCACTAGATCTTGTTTACACTGTGATGATAATAGTGGTCAAGGAGTTAACAAGAACAAGACCAGCTATCGGGAATCTGCAAAAACAAAATCTTGGGTGGTTCCTAAGGGAAAGGACACGTATTTGATATAAATAAGTGTGAACCCAGAGGCCAAAACTAAAGTCCCTATAACATACAAAATACATTTGAATGAGTCTTTCATGGTTGTTAGACAGTAGTGCAGATAAATTGTTTGGATTCCACACGTTGTTAAAATAGTGACAAATTTACTTCTGTTCATTTTGTTTTTTAAACTTTATTGAAGTATTATTGATATACAAAAACTAAATATGCATAATGTCTAGTGATTAATTTGGCTTTTATTTATTTATTTATTTTTGCAATAAGGTATGTACACTTGCAGAAGACAGACAGAGAGAGAAGGAAAGTGAGATGTCACCCCACAGGAGGGATGTCCACATTGCAGTCCCTTCTACTCCAATCTCCTATTTGTTATTTTAAGCACACAAGTGCACCTATCCAGTTAATATTTCAAGACGCCAAGTCAGGACTTGAGCTGTGCAGTTGTCCTTGTGGGATCCAGCTACACCACACCACTGACAGTCTCAGCCATTTTTTAAATTTCATAACAAAAACAAATAGTTGAATAGAACTTTTTCACCTAAAATTTTGCTCATATCTTTTATTAAATGTTCAACCTTTGTTACTGTTTGGATTAGTAAATACTGACTGGTGAGAAATGGGTATAGTAGATAGACAATACATAGAGATGCATATTTAAAAAGTATACTATCCTCTTTAGGTTGTCAGATTTTGTGTCCGTGTTTCTGATTTGAACTTGCATACTTGCAAACTTGCAAGCTCTAGTTCCTACCTTAAAATCATGTGCCTTGGTATCTGATAATATCTAAAAAGAATGTGGCCATCACAAGGAACACCACCGTAACTTCAAAACACTGCTACTTGAACTACTGATCTAAGTAAAAGCAGAAACAGGCAATAAATAATTATGGAGATGTTCTTGTCAACACTAGTTTGAATTATATGGAAGCAGTTAAGATAAGCAGGTTTAAAAGAAGAAGGTGGGCAACTGGTTACCATTTTCAATGTACAGTGTAGTTTTTTTTTAATAAAATAATTTAAAATAACTATTTTTGTTATTTTTATTAAAGTAGAATCACTACAGGCTGGAAGAAAATAGCAAATAATAAAGAAACTTTCTCTACTCCATAATAAGGTCTTGCTGTTTATTTCAGTGTTCTTTGGTATAAAATAAAGTAATATATTGGTTAATACAAAAGCCTGTTAAAGATCACCTTCATTACCTTTTAACTTCTATTTTCAGCACTCATCAATCATCTTGAACATGGAGTTGTCTCTGAAGCAGGTACTTTCTAATTTTTTGTATAAAAATTGACCACTAAATCAACAAATTGCTTGAATCAAAGTTTATTTGAATAAAAATTCATTAAAATTTGAAGTTAAATTGTAAATAATGTAAATTTTTACATTATTTGATTTTCTTGTAGTTGATTAGAAAATGTTGTTTCAGCCTTTTGTGGGAGAAATGAAACCACATTTTATTAATTAAATGATATATTCTCGAGATCAGATGTTGGTACATTGGCAAAATGTGACATATGAGACTGACCCAGGTTTTCCCCGGAGACCTTCCTGAACACACTGGACACTCTCATGCCCAGGGGTTGCTAAGGCTGTGGGTGACTCGTGGCATCAGGACCTTGTTGGCAAGCTATCTTTCTCTCTTTCTTTGTCTGTCTGTCTCACTCATGGGGGAAAAACAAAACAAAACAAAACTTAAAAATTAAATAAAATATGTCCCTTTTCCTTTGAATCTTGAGAATTCATCTCGCTTTTTCTTGTCTTATGAAGATATCTTTCTGTCAATGCCATAAGAAGTTCATGTAGAATAATAACACCTTATAAAGGGTTTTAATGGTAAAGCCTAGGAAATCGAATGATAGACTGTAGTGGCAAACAACAGCTATTTACTTCCAACTTACCACTTAGTGTCTGATGTCCTCCACAGTAAAGTTAGAAAAAATAATATCTACTTCCCAAGGTGATTTCAAGTTTAAATTGAATGTTGCTTGCAAAGCTCTGAACAGAGAACTGGCACATTTTAAGTGTGAAATAAATGGTAGTTAAGAATGCTGATAATAATAGTTAATATGGCTTTACAGTTCCCTAATATGATACTTCAAATCTCAATTGATTTGAGAGATTTAGACTATCATTACTATTTCTATATGCACCACCAAAATATCCAAAAAGTCCTATGCTATGATATGCTATGATATTCACCATTAAGATTCATGTAAAATTGTCTTAATGTCTGTCTAGTACAGCACAGTGTCTGCTAGGGGAAAGATCTAAATAGATTTCTTCTTCAGGTCTTTTTCATTAACTTACTTATTCTTTCAAGATTTCTTGAGACCTACAATTATGATTGGAGGTTATAGAAATGAATAAGTAACAGAGCAGTTGATATCTAGAAACTCAATGTAGAACTGGGAGAAAAAAGAACATGATAACAATACGGAGAAACACTAAAGAAAAAGTAGCCTAAAAGGGAGCTAAGGAAGACAGCTGAAGAAGTACAACCTCATTCATGAAGAACGTTGCAGTTAACTGAATAAATTAAAAGCAGGATGGGAAGTAGGGGCAGCATATGCCAAGTACAAGAAAAACATTTGCAAAGGTGTGAAGAGAGGGAAGCCATAGTTTATTCTAGTAAGTCTGTATACAATTAGAGGAATTCATGTGCTCAGGAAGGGAGGAGGAAAAAAATGAACCTGGGGAAGTAAAACCAAAGCAAGACTAAGCACCTCCTTTTAGGTCCTTCTAACAAATTTCACAACTGATCTTAAGGACAATGAAAAGCATTAACAATTTTAAGCAAGAGGGTGTTGGGGTAAGATTTCTGATTTAGAAGATGGATTAGATCCTGGAGTAGAGTTGCTAGGAAATAAAGCTAAATCAGCCGAAATAGTGAGGACACTAGTAAGTAATCCAGGAAAGAAATTACAAGGACCAAAATGAAGGTAGTGGCAGTGGAAAGAGGAAGGAATAGATTAGGCAGTTTTGTATGAGAAAATGGAAAAGCGCTGTAACAGATTAAATGTGAGCAAAAGAAGATTCAAAGATAGTTCCCACACTTCTGTCCTGGGTGACCAGGTGAGTGATGGTGTGTCTTGCCAAAGCAGGGCAAGATGAGTAGATTTAGAACTATTGCATATTATGTTCTCATTTTTCTTATTTACAATATACCTCTGAATCTTTGTACAATAAAAAAAGTAAAGAAATGAAAAGAGAAACTCCCAAATTTTGATTCCAAGAAAAGAATCACAAAGAAGACAAATGTCTTAGGTAGAAAAAAAAGGGAGCAGATGAAGAAGGGGAGAGCGTTTCGAGGAGAGTATAGTCATTAGTGTCAAACAATACAGAAAATTTTAGTAAAATAAATACTAGACTGCGTTCACTGTATTTAGCAACCAGGAGGTCTTAACTAACAGGTTAGCGAGTGCACAGTTGTAAAATAGATTACTGTAGGTTGAGTACATGTGTGTTACTTATGCCCTAATTCTAAGATGTTCTTTCTTCATTTAAAACTTGGGGGGATTTTGCTATAGGGCACGTAAGCTCGCCAGCCAGCCAGAGAGACAGAGACCAAAGCTAGAGTTGACCGTGAGTTCTTTGAAGGCACAAACTATAGCTTATTCATTTGTTTCATTCCTCTCCTCAACACCATCACAGACACTCCCATGATTGCATATGGGTAGTAGTGCATTGATTTTAGGACTTGTCAAAATATAATTTCATTTGCTGGATTATTTCAGTATCCTATAGCCCTTCATTTATGATATGCCATCCCTCAAACCTGCTTAATACTTTTCTCATAGTGACACTAAATATTTTCCCTCCTACTTATAAAGCATGTTCTTCTGAGTATCAGTACCTCATTAGCAAACAAAACGTTAATTAAAAACAGAAGAAAAGTTTACAGATCTCTTTTCAGTCATCTCTCATGTAGGGAACCATGTCAGGGAAGACAATTGGTTTTGCCTTTAGCATATGTGATTGATATAATCTACCAAAGTATGTTTTCTACTATTCAGAAATAACTTGACATCTTAATTCCCCAGTCTCACGGTTGGTTTTTGATCTTCTTAAACTCCTGTTAAGCTTACCCAAGCTCTGTAGAATGCTGTCCATTTGAGTAGGAACAACAATCACCAGCCTACCACGACGGAGAGAAGTGATTGACTGACTTGCCTCTCCTATTTCTATACGAGTGCTTACAAAGGACAGGATGTTCGAGGAAGCAGATTTAGATTGATCATGTGATAGTCAAGAAAGAAGTTCTGGAGACTAATTTGAAAGGTAACTCTAACTCCTTTGCTTTGTCTGATTTGCAGCAACAGTTGTACATTGGTTCCCGGGATGGATTGGTTCAGCTCTCCTTGCACAGATGCGGTACATACGGGAAAGCTTGTGCTGACTGCTGCCTTGCCAGAGACCCCTACTGCGCCTGGGATGGACACGCCTGCTCTCGATATGCGCCCACTTCAAAACGGTCAGGAGCTTATTGAGTTACTATGAAACTTTCCTTTCTATAAGCGAAAAGCCTCACTCAATTGTCTTATCTTATAGTTTAGGTTAAAGGTGAAACAGTCCTTGCACTTGGTCTGTTAAATGTTTAGTTTTACATAAAACTAAATTCTGAAAGGATAAAAGCCATGTTATGAAATTCTGATACGAGGAAAACATTTTAACTTTTTAATAGTGTTTTCCTTTATTTAGGTCAAGTATCATTAAATCTTCATTTTTATTCACCACTTTACATTTTCTATTATTTTATCCTTCTTATTTCTACATAGGTATAAACTCATACTCATTCTGATTTCTACATAGGTATAAACTCATACATAGGTATAAACTCTATATAGGTATAAACTCATATTCTTTTGCAATACAATCTATAAATGTACATGTTTGTAAAAGTACGTGCTATTTACAGCCCACAGCCCATCCTAGTAACTTGGTATAATTTTATTTGTATTTTAATAATTATAATTTGGTCCATTTCTTTTTGTTTTCCTTTTTTTTTTTTGAGAGGTTTTTGCTATAGGGCGCGTGTGCTCACCAGACAGACAGAGAGAGACAGAGAGACAGAAAGCGAGAAATCACCCCCCGGGGGGATGGCCACACCGCAATCCCTTCTCCTCTATTCTCCTCTTGGGATCTTGGGCACGCACACACACATGCCTGGTGTGAGTTTTAAGCCACTGCGTCCGGGACGCGAACCACGGTCGACTACATGGGAGTCCAGTGACATAGCCATTACACTAACTGCTGGTCCCAATTTGGTCAATTTCTGATGCTTAGATATATTTAAACCACCACTGTTGCCTTGCTGTTTGTTGTTCATTGCTTTACATGCTCTAAAAACTAGCCAACAATTTCCAGCTAAGAATATATTCTATACATACCTGTGCAAAATATCACAAAGTTGTATATTTAAGGATGTTTATGTCAGCATTATTTGTAATAATAAAATAATTGGAAACAACCTGAGTGAATGCTCATCAATATGACTTATGCTAGCTAAATATGTTTTGATCTTTATTTTTAAATTTGGACTGTAGTAACACTATTTTCTGATATATTATTTAAATATGTATAATTTTTAATCTTTAAGACTTTTTGATCAAACAGATAATACATGATTATGTGTTACTCTTACTGCTATTTATAAATCTTTTCTTTTCTTTCAACATTGGACAGATTTGCCCAGTTCTAGGGGAATCACAGATTAAACATATAGTACAACAGCAAGTATTACTTAAAATTAGAAAGATCATTTATACTTCCTAAAATATCTGAATTAAATATTAGTAGGTAGATACAATTATTAGAAGTTAAAGATGGAAAGCACCAATATTTTGTCTTTGGTTAAGAAGGTACTCATCATAGTTAGTCTTTGGGGAATGCTTTCCTAGAAGCTAAAATGTAGGAATGCTCATTAGTTGGTAATAAACCTTCAGTTTGATGAATTGATCCTGTTCCTTAAGAAGCCAAGATTTAAAAACATTCTTGACCTTAGTTACCTTATGCCATCATAATTTTTTTTCTTCTTGTATTTCCCAAAACAGTATCTTGCAGACACACCACTGTGATGTTTTCCCTTACCTAACATAATGCCCGTGTGAACCAAGGGATGTATACAATGGATGGACTTTGTACAAGGTTGTCATCCAGTTTACATTGCCCTTAGGGAACACCCTAAATATCTTGGAAGGTTTCTTGTTACTACTCTGATCTCTGAAGTGACAGCATAAAACATCCAAGGAAATGAAAATATATTGTAAGAGTATAAAACAAGTTTAACTTAGATGTTGCAGAACTTTTTTAATGCAATAGATACTATTTTCTCTTATAGAAATATGTGACAATACAAAAGTTATTTATTATTATTATTATTACTGTCACCAGAAAAATAATATAAGGTACATGTCAGCAAATAAAAATAACATGTAGCAATTTATTTCATTTGTACTCATTTATTACACATGGACTCTAATTTGACGTGATGGTATTTAATTTGTTGCTTAATCAAATTTACGTAGTAATGACTCTCTACATTAAAAACTATTTTGTATTGTGAGTACTTTTCTACTGACTAACTAAAGCTTTTTTATATTATTATTTTCCCAATGATTGAAAGAAGTTAGGAATAGTTATCCCCATTTCATATACATAAAAATACCTGAGTTATATTTATACTTTACCTGTTTTGTTGAATAATTTGTCGAAACTTAGAAAAAAAGGACTAGGAGATGGCATGATGGTTATGTCACCAGACTGCCATGTAGTTGACCTCAGTTTGAGTTCTTGACCCAGCCACTTAAAACTCATGCTGGGCATGTGTGGATTCATGCCCAAAATCCTGAGAGAAGACTGGAGGAGAAGGGATTATGTCATGGCCTTCCTTTCTTCTCCTGGGGGATACTTCTCACTTTTGGTCTCTCTGTCTTTCCAGCGAGCGCATGTGCCCTATAACAAAAATCTCAAAAAAAAAAAATTAGGAAAAAAGAAAGAAAAATAGTAGTTACATGAAACCGCCCAAAACATATATATATATATATTTTCTGTTAGAACTCTACTACCAGTAATATTCAAATGAATGCTATTATTGACTATTATTAGATGAAGACTTTCTATCATTTATTGATCATATTTGAAGTTCTATCCATTTAATATTTTACCATAGGCGAGCTCGACGCCAAGATGTAAAGTATGGAGACCCAATTACCCAGTGCTGGGACGTTGAAGACAGTAAGTACAGGTTTAATATGCTTTTTCTCCTGTTTGAAATGTTGAGCCTAGTCTTTGTGTCTTTTTGTTTTATGACTGAAAACATCTATCTTTTAGAAGATCTCGTACGTGTAATGCTTATGTTCTGGAAAAGCAACAGGAAATTTTACAAATCAACTGTCTATGTGACTAAATAAATAATTCCTTGTTACATCATTTTTTTTCTTTCACATGTCTTTTACATTTATTATACTGTAACGTTTCTTTCTTTTTTACTGCCTTATCCATCCTTATCAAGTTTGAAAACTGCTACTAGAGCAAAAGCAGGATATAGCCAAAAGTATTTGGACATTTAGAGTAAACTCCAAGAGACGAACCAGAAAAATCTGATCAAAGTGTATGTACTTATAAAGAAGTTTAGGTAGCCTATACTTTATTTGTACCCAATCAGTAATATTTATTAGGTGACTTTTGTGTGCATGTAATTGTCCCAGGAATACCACAAAACAAACCACAAAACAAACTCCATAGAGAACTATGATTCTTTGGAGAGATACCATAAGGTACAAAAAACCCCAAAAAAACAAAAAACAAAAAACAAACAAAAAAAATCCTCATAGAACAAAAGATCTTAAAAATCTGAGTAGTAGAGGGTGAGGAATAAAGAAAAAGTCTGATGAATGAGACTTATAACATAGAGGGAAAAAAGTATATTAAAGTGCATAATCCAAGCTCTGCCTCAAGGTAGAAAATATAAGAGAGCTTCAAGGAGTTGATGAAAATATACATTATGAAAACAAAAACTCCTTGCATCGAGACTGTTATAGGTATTGAGGATATACTAATAAACAGAAAAAATAACATTTTTACGTTCATGGAATTTACATTCAAGTGTGTGTTAGGGGAGAAAACAGCAATAAATACAGAAACATTGAAATAAATGCTATATCAGATGATAAGATAAATGTTATGTAGAAAGGAATACAAAACCCAGTTGTTGGCTCAGGCACTCAAGCTTAGTTTCTCCATTTCACCATCTCCCATTCTTGCTCTACCCTATTGCACACAACCTTCTGTAATCATCACTATTGCTCTACCCAATCCAGTCTTACAATTCACTACAGTTTTTCCCTGCCAAATCCAATGGGCAATTTTAAGTTGTCCTTTCTACTTAATCTCTCACTCTCTCATCTTTAAAATACTTTTCTCGCTTGAATCTCCTGCAATGGTGTGCTGAAAGCAGTTCATGTGGACTCATGAAAGTTGGTTGCTAAATACTGAGTCATCTAAAAAGTCATGACTATTTTTTTCTGTGCAAAATTTAGAAATTTTGGGAGTTGATTTTAAACCATCACTGCTTTAAATTAGCCATGGTGAGAGTATTTACTCTGGAAAATCAGCCATAACTACATACAAATCAGGACTTTGTTTTCACAGAGATGGTGTACCAGCTTAAGAGGGGAAAGGGGACCAGACCAGGCAGAAACCTATGGATAGTCAAGATTCTGCCCTCTGTCATTTTGTGATGTCTTTAGACTTTAAACATGTCTGCAGTCATGAGTCAAAAATAAACCTCATTTTTAAAACTAAAATTACTTAGTTTCAAATATTTCTGTTGGTAAAACAATAGTGGACAAAACACAGCTCCCATGCCTCCATATTCTTCTGGCTGGTTTACCTTTCATCTCAGATTATGTCTTCCAAGTATTCTTAACTTTCCTTTTAATTCCACCATCTAAATATTAGAGTGCCCTTTGCAGTCTTTTATTCTACCATCATTTCAATAATGTAAGAAGCTATTTGACTCCCAGCATCATAGTCCAGTTTAGAATTCTCCCTTGTATTCAGATGTGAATGATTATGTGCTTAGAAGTTCACTTGAATGCCATCTCAACCTTATGTCTGAGAAAGAATTTATCTCCAAACCTATTTGTTCTTTAGACTTTCCCATATTAGTAAATATTACCAATATGCACCCCAGCTGCTTAGTAGTCATCCTCATATTCCTCATTTTCTTTCACACCCAATCACCAACTTCTCAGTAAGTCCTTTTGTCTGTTTGGCCAAATTCTGTTGCTTCTTATCATCTCTATAGATGCCTGCCTAACTGAAACCATGCACTTTTTCAACAGATGATTGACTGGTCTCCCAATTCCTATGCTCACATCACTTCAGTCTACACCCACTCTGTAGCCAGAGTAATATTTCCAAACACTTCAGTAAGATAATGTTATTTCCTTAGTGCAAATCTTTCACTAGCTTCTTAGAAAATTAGCAAAAGATCTACAGCTTTTGCCATGGCCTAAAAGATGCTATGTGACCTGGTCCCTAACATATTCTCTGACTTTCTCTCACATCATGTTGTATGGTTCACTCACTGGCTTTCTCTTTTTCAGAAGTACCAATCTGATTATTGCCTCAGATATGTTTGTGTTTGCTCTCTCCTTCGGGTAAAGGACTCTTCTCTTTAGATGTTCACATCATTTCATTCTAAGCATAAATGCTCTTTGTTCAGAGAGACCTTTCCTGACTAACCTTTATGAAATACCTTCCTTCCATTCTACCCCTATAACCAGTTATATTGTTTCTTTTCAAAATATATAGTAGATACTACCAGATACCATATTATTTTTTTATTAGTTTACTTCATTACTTTCTATCTGTCACTAGAATGTAGGTTTCTGGAGGGCAATAAATTTGTCTGTTATATTCATCCCAGCACTTAAAACAATGCCAGTATGTTAGACAGACGAGAATATTTGTGTTATAGAATATTTATGTAAAGAAAGGATTATTTAGGTGGATTGTATTTGAGCTATGCCTTAAGGAGAAATTTTAAACCTATAAAGTAGATAAAATAACAGTAATTAAAATTAGAAAGACCTCAGACAGGTTGTGATGGTGTCTATGTTATTCTATGAAATTTGATTCTCTTTTAGGAGATAAAGTGCTACTTTGTACTTCTCAAAAAAGTTGTTTCTTAAATAAAAGGAATTGACAACTGTATAGATAATTGATTGGAACAGAGGAAGCCTAGGGCAGAGAATCAATAGTGGGATGTAGAGTAGAGATTATGGGGTTATTTACAAACTATAGTAATTGCAGTCTTAATGAGGAGAAGGGGGCAGATTTAGACAATAATTAGCAAAGAGGAAAGGAGATGACTTGTTTCTAACCCTCTATAGTAGTGTGTTTCACGTTACCAGATAAACAAGTCATAAATATTTGGTAAATAATATTTATTTTCTTCCTTCCCTCCTTCCTTTATTTGTTCATTGCTTTAATTTTTAAATGCTCTGGTGCTGAATGATTTTAAATGATATAAAATCAGCAATATTTGTATTGGGCAGTTGGAAACGTCATGACACATCTGGGCATAGAAAAACAGAAAAATGCACATGAGTTTTATGATGATCCAGTAGAAGAGCGGCGTTAACCATGGGAAACAGATCTAATTTT